CACATATTTTACTTTTACCCTCCGAAACAAATCTCACTATACCATATTCCTCAATAATACTCCTATCCCAAAACTGTTTACGCTACCTTGCGTTCTATCTCAACTCACGACTAACCTAGAATCGTTAAGCATACATAACACGAAGACAAGAATTAAACTAACTTTTCGAACTAAATAAAATTTTTCAATATTTCTAAGAAATTCGCTACAAATACAAATATTATACAAATTATCAAGAATATCACACATGTCATAAAAAACAAACTAGCACTTTATAAGAACAAATTTGAACTTATGGATTAGAATGGGGCACCTCTAAATCAACATTTAAAGAATAAATTCACTAATTTCGTGGTCCGCTTGACCAATTAATATATTACAATTAATTAAGTTTTTTACTTGAGATAAAAAAAGTCAGTGGCACTAGGGGGATTCGAACCCACGACCTTCGGCTTGATACGCCGCTGCTCTACCACTTGAGCTATCCTCGATCCACTCGGACACTAACTTCCCATCTCAACCCCACCTTTTGAATTTTCCCTAATTTTTGCCATTTTTCAAATGTCGTGGAATCCATTTGATTGATAGGTCACGATAGCTCAAGTGTTAGAGCAGTGGCGTATCTAGCCGAAGATCGTGGGTTCGAATCCCGCTCATGCCATTGACTTTTTTATCTAAACTAAAAACCTTAATTACTTGTAATTTAAAGAATAGTCCTTCAATTCCAAACTCCTCAGAACTGACACAATGACATCCAAATACCGTTCGTTAATCCTTAACAGATTTTCCACATTCCATGACAAATTATCTCCACATCCAACTCGATTTATATCCAACATTACCGACCCCCATTGCATAACCCAGTAAGGTGACTGAAGCGAAGATGGCCCCGGTAATAAATGTACAGGTTTCCTGTGAACATACGTCTGTACTTTAGGAGGTTATCCAAATGTCAGATTGTACTAAAAAGCTCAATTGTCTATAACCTCATTCTCAATTGCATTCCAGGTATTTCACTTTTCGGGCACTTCAACTTTCACAACTTAATTTCGTAATGTCCTTCGTAAGAGAATTGAAAATTATCTTATCCCCTTGTGTTTCTTTACAAAATCCTAACTTAAATTAAGATCCTTTTTGTATATAGTCAATCAAATATGCCATCTGAGTATAGTAGCACAAACAACTATATATTTAAAAAACAAACTATTTTCCAACAATTGAAACTATACAAGGAATCAAAAAGTATCCTTAAATGTAATTTTATACTAACAAGGAGAGAATAAAGACGTGAAAACCAGATTTTATAAAGCTCTTTTAGATTTTGTCGAAAAATATTAGAAAACATTCTAAGCATTCTTGCTAGCGGCCCTTAGGAACATAGAAGAAAAAGGTCTTAAGTAATTCAAATTAAAATAATTACTATTTAGTATTAAATACTTAGAAACCACGATGGCAGGGTGGTTAGTGCTTTCAGATTCGAATTTGTCACGTTAGTGGTTCTGGCTTGTAATCCTGACATAGACCGTAATTGATAATAATCCACTAGGTTTCGTTGCCCAATTGACCAAATAAATTCGTTTCAATTAATTAATCTTTTAGTAAGGTATTGGCTCAGATAAAAAAGTCAGTGTCACGAGCGGGTTTCGAACCCACGACCTTCGGCTAAATACGACGCTGCTCTACCACTCGAGCTATCGCGATTTCGATCCTTTCGGACAAACAAATTTTCCTCCTTTTTGCCATTTTTCAAATGTCATTCATTTGTCGCCGAGAAAGAAATAGAGTACACGACATTTGAAAAATGGCAAAAAAGGAGGGAAAATTCAAAAGGTGGTGTTGAGATGGGAAGTTAGTGTCCGAGCGGATCGAAGTCACGATAGCTCAAGTGGTAGAGCAGCGGCGATTCTAGCCGAAGGTCGTGGGTTCGACTCCCGCTCGTGACACTGAATTTTTTATTTCAACCAATACCTTACATATTGATAATAATATTAAAAAGTGGTGTAAAGCAATTTAACGATACCCAACGGGTAGTTGGACGTCAAGCCCTGAATGTATATACATATTTTTTAATTCCCTAGTTTTCGTGGTCCGCTTGACCAATTAATATCATTCAATTAATTAATGTTTTTAGTTAAGATAAAAAAAGTCAGTGTCACGAGCGGGATTCGAACCCACGGCCTTCGGCTTGATACGCCGCTACTCTACTACTGGAGCTATCGTGACTTCGTGAAGTCTCTCATTATCTCAACTAAAAACCTTAATTAATTGAATGATATTTTTTAATGTTTCTTTTTGCCATAACCCAGTAATTCGACTGAACCGAAATGGCCCCGGTACATCCTTACGAATAGTTCGTAACTATTCGTAAAGCTGGAAGTGCAGCAATGGTTGTCTCTCCTCAAAATAAAATAATATATCACATAATGTATATAATTTGTACAGGTGGTAATTAAAATAACAATATTAAAAAAACCTTTTAAACTCATGGCTATTAGGGTTTTGGCACAGAAACCGTCTTTGGTTCACTTAAGTTTGTTTATATAATTTTAATAATCAATTTACTTTTTGCTAAAGATGAATCCCGTAATTCATTATTATTGGTTGGAAGATATAATGAAATTTCAATTCGAATGGGACGATATCCTGCCAGGATTGTTGATGGTTCGGCTTTTGTTTTGTAAATCGCCAAGGGTCCGGCCACCGAACTCTCCTCTCCTAATGAATAATCTCCTTTACGATTACATAAAACTGCATAATCTGGTATTCAGATTTGTTGTACTTTGCACGGACTTCACGAAAGGAGTTAAAATTCCAATTATACAGCGAAGTGAATAGGATTCCATATTTCGCCATCGTCTTATATGGACGATTTCCATATTAATTCGTCTTGATAAATGCGGATCATTATAATTTCAAAATTGCTAAAAGAATCGACCTAAAATCAATGTACACGTTTCCCTAGGTTATCCTAATGTCAGATTGGACTAAAAGTCCCAACTGTCTACAGTCTGATTCTCATTTGTATTCGAGGTATTTCACTTTTCTGGTCACTTCAACTTTCACAACTTAATTTCGTAAAGTGTCTTATTAAGTATTAATGATACTATATATTTTATTATTCCAGTCAAAGAGCATTGAGAATTCCAGTAAGATTCGTGTATTTTTTTTTATTGTAAGCTTAAGCAAAAACAAGACAAAATCTCTTGAATATAAACTTTTGCGAATTTCCAAAGTTCTAGATTAAAGTTTAAGTAAGATTTTCTTATTTCAGTCAATACTGACAGATCTGGCATGTATAGAAATGTTGAACATACAGAAACTTACGCCTCTTAAACCCATGTACTTATTTTCTGAAAGATCAGTCATCACCAATATAAAAAAAAATAATTATTAAGATTTTCAAACTTTTATTTTAAAAAAATAATGAAAGTAATAGAAAGTAAATATTACATAAAGGGTTCAGGAATCTTGTATTATTAAGATTACCTCTTGAGATCAATAAAATCTGTCAGGATACGATGTGAGGATGCATTCTCAATAATCAGTTGATAAAAACACAATAAGAATAACCAGTGCTGAAAAAATTGTCAAATTCGATATTTTTCACCCGTGTTATTCGTTGCTATTATAAAAATTATAAGAGGTTTATTGCTTAAAAAAACATGTTTTTTTTTATCACAGTACAGATTAATTCCTCCTATTCGTTCTCTGGAAATTCAGATTTGTTAAACAATCAGAACTGGAAACAACCCGGCTCGACTTAAATTCGCCATTTCTATGCAAGGAGAAAACGGCCTTTGGCTGAATATGCAATTCACGACCGATCTGAAAGTGCATTTCGGTTTATAGGCAAAAGGACTATCCTAGTGGAAATTGAGCTGCGTTTAAGGTCATTTTTTTCATGAACATGAAATTCTCCTTTGTTCTAGAACTTTGCATAATACCCGTGTATGTCCGATTGTGAAATCTAGACCTCGATGACAAATAATTCGTTTTATAAGCCGTAGCCACTAAGCACTTCATTAACCTACATTTTCAGTTTTCCGCCAATAACCCCTGCAATGAAAATGAAACAGAGGGAATGGGCGAGCCCAAATGAGTGATAACGACCCATCTCCAAGTTTATAATCTTACAGTACTTAGTTTAATTCAGTGGTTGTAAATATAAAAAATAACTTGAGCTTAGTATCATTTGTTATTTGAGAATGCATCTTGAAGTTTCATACCTTCAAATTTATTTATATATTCCTGTACATATACGTCTGTGGTGATTAGTGACCGTTAATTGATATTTATTTAGAAATCGTGAGAAGCGGTCTGGTGTGATGTAGGTTTCAGAAAAACGTTTTGTTTATCGTGCCAATGTTTCGATCTTTATTGAGATCATCTTCAGGGCCTGGGATTTACAAACATTGTTTACATATTACAATTACATTTTGGATGTGGAAAAGTGAAATTATACAATGCAAAATATATTTTATATATTCAAAGTATTTCTACTCACTCAAAGTGTTTGTCTTCTGTGTAATTGTGTCGTTCTTGCGTGTCGTGTCGAGAGTGCCAGTGAAATTTTGCTATTTTGTGTTTATATACATTGGATTTTGAAGGGGTGGGGAAGGAAATAGATTTTGCATTGTATAAATTCACTTTTCCACATCCAAAATGTAAATGTTATATTTAAACAATGTTTGTAAATCCCAGGCCCTGAAGATGATCTCAATAATGATCGAAACGTTGGCACGATAAAGAAAATGCTATTCTGAAACCTACATCACACCAGACCGCATCTCACGATTTTTAAATCAACTGCATATATACATTGTATAAGATAATATAATTTCTTATTTGTAATTTCTTGTTCGTACTATTTTTGGTGGATTTATTTAAATATTTTAATCGCCGTTAGTGATTTAGATTGATTCGTTTGTTCGTTCATTTCAATTATCTTTTATATTTTTAGTAATTGGACGGTTTTAATGACTATTTTGTTTTGTTTGCAGGAGATCGCTGCTATTCTTATCTGTTTCGAGCGGCACCTCGACTGGCAATCAAAGGAGGTAAAAATAAGGTGAGAAAGCCAAATCTTTCCCGCATATGTGTTACGAGAAGGATCGATGAATTCATTATCGGCGTGGGTGGAGAGAAGGGCCTACGATTACTGCCTTAAGGGCCCGCCGGCTATTTAGGGAAAGTTGGTAGGGCCGGCGCGACGGCCCCTTTATTGCATTTCTTCCCTTCTGCTCTTCTCATCCTCCGCTTAACCGGGGCCGGAAAAGTTTTGCCATACTGATAAAGTTTCAAACGGCCGCCGAAGGCCAAATTTGGTATCGCGATTGTCAAAATTGCCTTATTTTCCTTATTTACGAGAGTCAGTAGATGCCACTCAATTCTTTTTTGCTACCTCCCTCGTTTTCATCTTTGCATTCAGTTTTCCATCCAAAAATCATATCTTTTGTTACTTTTATTTTATTTAGCATAAACAGTTGTCTTACCATTACTTAATTGGCAAGTAAATTCGTGAAAACTGGAAAATGTTTGGCATTGCACAAACTCTCATATTTGTCGGAAATTTTCTAATAACTATCCAAATATTTCAATTCGTCATTTTAGTATGTAGGCTGGGTAGAAGGGAAATATATAATTAGCCTGTTATTTTAAACAGAACTTTTTGTAACAAGCTTTTTGCTATAATAATTCTGGAATTGCTTCAACCATTTTACAGTTTTTTTTTTAATTTACAACTACAAATATTACGTTAATATGTTCACATATGTTATATTAGTATTTGAGTCTCTTGTAAAAAAAAAGCTGCTTATTGGGGGGGGGTTAGAATTGGAAATGATAACTGTCATTCTAGTAGATTATTGTGTAAATGACAAAAAGAAGGGAAAATTCAAAAGGTGCGGTTGAGATGGGAAATTAGTGTCCCAGTGGATCGAGGTCACGATAGCTCATGTGGTAGAGCATCGGCGTATCAAGCCGAAGATCGTGGGTTCGAATCCCGCTCGTGCCATTGACTTTTTTATCTCAACTAAAAACCTTAATTAATTGTAATATATTAATTGGTCAAGCGGACCACGAAATTAGTGAATTTAATGATTTAAAATGAAGTATACTTCACTAAAGCTCACCGTGGCCATTTCATTTGTCGTCGAGAATGTAACTCGATTACACGATATTTGAAAAATGGCAAAAAGGAGAGAAAATTCGAAAGGTTCGGTTGAGATGGGAAGTTGGTGTCCGAGTGGATCGAGGTCACGATAGCTCAAGTGGTAGAGCATCGGCGAATCAAGCCGAAGATCGTGGGTTCGAATCCCGCTCGTGCCATTGACTTTTTTTTATCTCAACTAAAAACCTTAATTAATTGTAATATATTAATTGGTCAAGCGGACCACGAAATTAGTGAATTTAATTATTGTGTAAGTTCAGTGATTGATGATATTTTTTATAGCGGGTTTTGAAGAGTTCATGCACAAACGTGATGTGTAAATCGTTATGAATAGTGTAATTTGAAACATAAAAAGTAGCATTTATAATTTGGCGGAGAATTTTATATTGATTCGATTGTAGACTTTAGAAATTTGTAATCTTTTGTCGATCTCACATTTCACGCCTACAGAGGTCATATCATTGTCTTGTAAATTACGTTTGTTTTCAATGTCTAATTTTGATCGCGAGTCAAGTAGTCGTTTTAGTCATAGGATACCAAGTCAGTCGTTTATCCATAAAAAGTTCAAGATTACGCACAAGACTGAGGGCTTGTAGGCAACGGGGATTCCATTTATTCTCACTGAGCACAGATATTTTTACGTAAGGTAAAATTTATCTATAAGCTTTTAGTTAGGTTTATCTTCATTATCCACTTTGTGAATTTATTGTAAATTAATTCACCATGGTGTTGTTGAGGGTCCGAATTACGTGTAAGAATCGCTCTATCATCAGCCAATGTGTGTGTTGAAATGTTAGCATGTGTAGGAATAAGAATATGTGCAGGGTATATTAAAAATAGAAATGGGCCAGGCATGCTTCCCTGAGGAACACCCGCCTTAATGCATATATAAAGTGAGAATTCAAATCCCTGAAATACTCGGCAAAACCGGTCCGTCGGATATTAACCATCAGCAAGATTTTTTAAACTTTTTTCTGAAACAGTTTCTTCTTTATTCTTTAATCTTTATTTAATTTTTTAAATTTTGTGTGGTAGAGTTAATCTCAGGGAACAAGACAATATACAAAATACAATTTTAAAAAATCCAACTTTCTAATATTATATTGCCACACACAAAAGAAAATAAATATAATAATTTTGCACAGCAGGCGAGTGTTTTCCTTTTTCTGTGCCTCGTATTTTTGCAGATGGCCGGTAAGTTTAATGGTCGACCACTCTAGTAGGCGCTTGAATTGTCGACCTGTTTCAGTTTTTGCCCTGGGTCCGCCAATGCTCGCTATTCTTTAATTAATTTAGCCTTTCACTCCTGAAACACATTAAAATTTATGTGCGATGAGAATGAGCCATAAGATTTTCTCGGTTTGATAAATAATTATGCTTTTAATTCCGACTAACAATCGTATTCATTTTGTGAGGTAACAATGTCGTTTTTCTTGAAATTTGCCACCTCAAATTATTTTAAGTAGATTTTCTGGTTTTTGATTCACTAGTTTTACTTATTGTTGTTGAAATAATTACGTTAAAATAGATAAAACTAATGTTGAATGTATCCAACAAGAAATTGTAGAAAAGAACATTACGTTGTTAAAATTCCAACACCCAAGGAACAAATTTTCCAGTCCAACGTAACGTGGCCCTGAAAAACTCAAAAAAAGAGCGTTAAAGGTCGAACTTGACAGGTAACAACTGCAATTATTTTCGTCCGACTGGCTGGCTGAAGTGTCTCTAGCCACGGAATCTATTATCAGATTTTCACAGTGCGTGAGATGCCTCAATTCGCTAAGAGAGGGTCGGAAACGACGCTTTACTTTTACCGGTCATGAATTTAAAAATGAATATCCAATTATCGGTTTCCCCTAGCAATTTCCGTGCATTTGAAATAGTTGTTGAAATGAACAAAAAATATTACTACCTTGGGGTGGCTGATCATATATTTTGATGTAGTTAATAGTCAGTTTTATATAATTAAACAATAAATATCTTTAAGTAGAACCCAAGTATTTCAAAGCGCATTCTGAAGTCTTTTTTGTTTTTAGCCAGAACATTAATTTTGCCCATTCCTGACGAGGCGGTTTACCATAATCCACATCCTATTTTTCTCGGGACAGGAGCGGATCCTGGTTTATTATCCTGGACGTGACTTTTTTCTCCGTATTTCATCTGTATTCTTCATTTGTAATGGACGGATTAGAAAAAATCGACTTGGATCTCTTGGACAGGGGATTTCTAAGACTTAAGACACGGGATTTACTGACTAATAGAAATTGTCTTTGGGGTAATTGCAGATTTTTATCCCAACTTTTGTCCGGTGAACCTTTTCTTCTTAACTTAAAATTTAACTGTACCGTCTTCTCGTATTCCATCCAACTCACCTCACCTCTTACCTACTCGTCAACCTTATCAGATCAGAAACTAAATGTGTGGTGTTTAGTAACCGTTATTTAATGATTATTTAGAAATCGTGAGATCTGGTCTGGTGTGATATGGGTTTAGAAAAACATTTCGTTTATCGTATCAACGTTTCGATCTTTTTTGAGATCATCTTCAGGGCCTGGGATTTATAAACATTGTTCAAATTATACAAATACATGTAAGATGTGAAAATCAATATATACAATGATGTACACAATATGGAAATTTTAGGTTTAATCAAAGTATTTGTACTCACTCAAAAGGAATATTTTCTGTGTGATTATCGTGTTGGGAGGGTTAATGAAATATTAATTTTTTTTTTATGTATATGTTATGTTTTTAAGAACCCTTCTCCTTCAAAACCCAACATTCATAAACAAAAAACATTAATATCTCACTATCAACACGACACACAACAATGATACATCTACACAGAAAACACACACTTTGAGTGAGTAATAAAGTAAGTAGTAAAATAAACACGAAAGAGGGAAAAATCTCCACTATACACCAACAACAATAAGTCCATAGCGTTTTTGATGATAAATTCATATTCATTACATATCAGACAATTTAAACGACAACATATGAACCATTTTGTTCCACTACTTGTTGCATTCTTCCGTGTAGTTTGATAACTCCGTTTTCAGAACTTCTCAGATTTTTGAACTTTGAAATTCTCAATTTGCTTTATGGAGTCTTCAAGTGAAGTAAAGTTTTTCCATTAATTGATTTTTCTGGAACGCAGAATAGGTAATAATATGAAAGGGCAATGGATGCGCGTTATCAGTTTGCATAGTCCATTTCTTAGATACCTGATTAATGCCAATAAAGAGTAATTTTAATAAACTATTTTCGTCAGGAAAACACCCCTTTAGTCTTGATTAATTTTTTAAAAATTGACGATGCGCTGCCTCTACAGCATTGGTCATATAAATAGGTTTTCTAATGGTTGTAGGGTACCGAAGATATGTACTTAGTAAGTTCCATTGATTTCCTCATGATTCTAGGACTATAGGGTATTTTTCACCCCATTTCTTTTCCAGTTCATCAAAGAGCAAGCAAGAATTTGAATTTTTTACTGCTTTTTCATCAGCCATAAAGGCTTTTTGGTTTTTACAGGCAATATAACACGCAGACTATTGCAGGCTTTTGGTGAATTGCTGACTTTAATCGGTCTAATTATGTGCAGTAGAATCTAGAGTTATCTCTGAACAAAGCTCATAATAAAACACACCGTTCGATATCACAAAATAAAAACATCATCTTGGAATGTTATCATCCTTTTGAAGTTGTTAACTGAGGGTCGCTGCGTATTCCTCAATATTTTCCTTTTTTGACGAGCTGACGAAATGCTGAAACGCAGCTGTAAGTTCAATACATCGATGATAGGCAGAACGAAATGATCGGCAAAGACCAAAATAAAGGTTCATCATCAAGCATACCGCACGAAAAAATTTCGCAATTTATTTATTTTTGTATGTAAA